AACTTTTCCATGACATTCTAATTTATTGAGATGCACCTGTACAACGTAAATGCAAATTACAGCCTGAGACCATTTATAATGCTTGTTAAAGCAGCAGCTCTATTTCTCTTTGTTGACTTGCATTCATGTCTAGGCTAATTTGCGGGTGTCAGGATGAATTATGCAGGTTTGGAGGATGAGTGAGCATTAACAATGCAGACGACAGCGAGATATACACACATACACTGCTCTCACTGAGTTTAAAGAGGTACATAACAAGGCCTCAGTGTAGCAGAAGTCACTTTCTCTAAACTTGTTAGCCAGAAGCCCGAAGGGTTTAAAGGTATTAATTTGAGTGTTTTAAAAAATTTTGTAATTATCAAAACATTTTTGTAAAATGCAAAGCCCAAAACAAAAGTGCAAACTCTGAAGCTTTAAAGCTGTTTAGGGTGTCACGTGTTGGCATGTTAGTAGATTTAGCACAAACTTCTAGAAAATGCATTTAGATTGCATTAGAGATGCACTTCTAGCTAGTTGCTGAATCCATATGGCAAAAATATATTTTCAGATATATTTTAAATACATCTCAAAATATTCAAAAAGGTGGACCAAAAATATATTGTTAATCATTTTTTTTGTAATTACATTACATATAATTGCTTAGCTACTGTAAGTTTTCTTTACTTAAATTTCCTCTATTTCTTGCTCATTTTTTATATTTTTTTCAATTATATTGCTTAAAATATATTTTATCCATTAGTTTATTATTATATATAATGTATATCTAACAGAATAGTCTACCCTAAAATGAAAATGCTCATCATTCACTCACTCTCTTGTTGCTCCAAACCTGTATGACTTTTTTTCTTGCTTCTATGGAACACAAAGAAAATATTCAGAAGATTTTTGGTAACCAAACAGTTTTGGTTCCCTTTTGACTTTCATTGTATGGTAAAAAAAAAATGGATTAAGTCAATGGGAACCTAAACTGGTTACCAACATTCTTCAAAATATCTTTTTTTAAGACATGAAGGTGAGTAAATGGTGACAGAATTAAAATTTTTGGGTGGTGCAAGCTGTTGATTTATTTAGCAAAATGTATATTTGCTTTATTTGGAACTTTATGTCATGCCTTTGTGTTGATGAGTAACATTGTAATTTGAGTCACATTGTAATTTATATGCTAACACAAATGCACATTGGATTCGTAGCATTACTAGAAAAGGATGTAATAACAGGAATTATGTAGTTTCAAGTCAACTACTGTCCTGGAGGGTGAACAATTAAATTCAATGCGTCACTTCAACTGCCATTAGAAGTCCCGGTTGCTATTGAAACAGTCAGCGTTCTGAGACATGCACATGCGCACTGGCTGGTCTAGCCAGAAAAACAAGCTTTTTAACGCTATTTGAGCAAAAGAAACAAAGTTTATGAGACCGTTGTTGTCAGATTTCATTGGTGATTTCAAATA